CCTAGAGGGAATATCAGCTGCCTAATCTAAAAAAAGCCCTAGATATCTTGGGATGGCTTGCTGTATAAGAGTCGTTGCCAACAAGCTCCATTCAGGTGATCTGATGCAATGTCACAACCTAGTTCATTCAGCTTTGTGAAAACAGGCATATCGGAAGTAAGTAACAGTTAAGGTCAAGGAGCAGAGATAACGTGATGTTACTAAAGAAAAGAAAAGCCTCAAACCTCTCCCTGTGGTCAAACACGTAAGGTGAGCAGGCATAAATTACACATATAATGTAAGACATTGTCTGGAGATTTTAAGATATCACATAATGAATGTGAATAACAGAAATGTGAAATGGTTCAGGGTAGCCTGTGATTAGCAGCATTTGATGAGAACAGATAGGACATAAAAAAATCTTTTTACATCAGTCCACAAGCTGAAAAGAATAAAACGAGTAATAAACAAGGGAAATTAAGAAATGGAGTTTGGGGCCGGCTCCATGGCCCAGTGATTAAGGAAGCTAGATCCCACATAGCCTACCACGCAGTTTGAATCCTGGACCCAGAGGCTTATAACACATACCAGACATGAGTGCAAGCATGACCCAAATCCTGACACGATGGAGAAATGGAGAAGGGACTACAGTGTGACCACACCCCATAGGGGTGCTCTCTCTCTCTCACTCTCTCTCTCTTCTATCTCTGGTAAGTGCACACACCTTTTGTCAAAATTAAAAACAAAAACAAAACAAAAGAAATGGAGTTTTAAACTGACCTAATAAAGTACAGAAAAGACAGTACTGATTCTAACCAAAACACACACACACACACACACACACACATACATGCACACACACACACACACACATCTATGTTTTAAAATAAAACTTAAACCTGCTATTTTCTATGCTTAAAATACTTTCTTCCCATCAATGTCTAACTTTCAGTTTAACCTTCACCTTTTCTATAAAATATTTTATAATACTCTGGCTCACAAAGGCCTCTCCACTTCATGGTTTCTTTTTGTACTTAGTAGACACAATCTTAGTCCTGATTTGCAATGTCTTCTATACGTCTTATATCCCAACTGGAATACAAGTTGGAGTTTCTTTCTTTTTTTTCTTTTTTCTTTTTTTTGAGAGGTTTTTGCTATAGGGTGCGTGCGCTCGCCAGACAGACATAGAGACAGAAAGCAAGAAATCACCCCCCAGGGGGAATGGTCACGCCGCAATCCCTTCTCCTCCATTCTCCTCTCGGGATCTTGGGCACACACTCACATGCACCTGGCGTGAGTTTTAAGCTACCGGGTCTGGGATGCGAACCGCGGTCAACTACGAGGGAGTTCAGTGACATAGCCATTACGCTAACTGCTGGTTCCCGCCACAGTATTGTTTAAGAATCAAATAACCTCTTAAGAATCTACTATTAGCTCTGTATTATAATTTCCAGTGATGGATTATTAAAAGCCAGCAATTATTTGTACTGGGGTGTACATTTGACTTTAGTATACTTAATATTAAATGAGCCTTTGCATTGTCCTTATCAAGATTCAGCATTTAACCAAATTTGAATTTTGATAGAAATACACATATATATAAAGGTGTACTGTAATCCTAGTTTTATGGATTTATACATAGAGAAAAAAATAAAAAGAGTTATAAAGTTTCAGATTTTGATTTGTACTGTCTAATTCACATCATTATTAATAGTAGGTTTTCTAAACCCAGAAATCTGACACATGAGATATGTATGTAAATGTACTCTGATGTGCTATACAAATGTAAAATATCATGGAAATTTATATATTCAAAATGTCATTTCACTCTTTTCCTTAAGAAGTAGGAAGTGAGACGAGACAGGACAGGTGAGAAAGGATGAATAGTTTTGCTATCCACATCTGATCTGCTTCCTAGTGAAATTCTACAGCTTTAAAATGACACTCTGTTATTATAATCTATACAGAGATGACTACATCAAATATTTCATCTTTTGAATATTTTAAAAATGTATCATTCAGTTGACAGTGTTTGAAACTTTCTAAAGCAAAAAGTATGAAAGAATCATCAGAATGATATACTCACTAACCAGTCAGGCAAATACACTCAATGACTATAAAAGAATATCCTTGCATACCACACTGGGAGGGGTAGATCCCATTCTTGCATGAATGTGTGCCCTATTCCTTGCCTTAATGTTCACATCTTCCGTTAACCTCGACCATTCCTGTTCAATATTTTTACCTTTGATCTACAAAAAATGTAATAATTAAACCAGTTAATAAACTGGATAAATTAATCAAAACCTGAAAAGGATTACACAGGTCATTCTAAAATGATAAAATCCAGGTTCCTAATAGTATGTCTGAAAGAAAAACATGGACCCATGATAGTAAAGTCACCAATTTTAGTCCATAAAGTCAACCATATATAGACTAGATGAGAAATAGATAATAATGTTACATGTGAAAAAGACTCAATTACTAGCATATAGATAGTTTAGTAAATCAGGAATAGCAAGCCCATGCCACCAAATTGGGAATGCACTAGTAAAACTAGGAATAGTCAAAGGATTGATGTTAATGAGACAAAATTTTAACCAGTTTAAGAAATACATTTCTAATAATTAGATAGTTCTAAGGTAGAACTTGTTGCTTTGAGTCAGTGAGTTCTCCTCAAGGAGAATATTCAAGCTAGTCTGGGGTGCTATACAGGAATTTAAGTACCAAGTCATAGTTTATACTACATGATTTTTAAGATTAGCCTCCAACCTCCAAATTCAAAATTCCAATCGGGATTCTGAAAAGTACATGCAAAAGGACACTTAATCATTTCATGTCAAGATAGCTCTTCTAGAAACATTCTCAAGCTTCATACTTATAGTTTGAACTACAGTTAAGAAGACACCACTTTAAATAAGTTCTGGGAATGACTAAGATGCACTGCAAAGAGATACATTTTTTTAATCATAGGATGTGGAAGGACCATGTTCTCACAATGCTCCAACCTACCTGAAGCCTGATAATAATGAGCTTTAGCCCAAGAGCTAAGGAAGTTTTTCAAATGATCTAGGTTAGAAAAATTATCCCTTTAATAGAGACAGACATAGTAGAAATTAGGTGATAGATCCAATAGGAAGAGGCATAAGCTTTCATAATCAATAAAATGTTAGAGTTTTGGTTTCTACCACTAAAACATTGCAAAAAAAAACCTCTGGGAACATAAATGTTACAGAAAATAGGAACTTAGACATAAAAACAGCGCTCGCTGAGTGCTCACAAATACTTGAGCATTCATCCCCGGCTCAGATCCACCTTATTCTGGCTGTGCTTTCTAACTAACTCTCTTAGTTAACATTTTCTGTGAACACTAGTTGCTTTCCATAGGGACCAAAATCACAATCTAGAGAGAATGATCACACTTCGTTCTCATGAATAATGAAAATGGAAAAAATTTTCCATGGATGTGTTTTGCCAATGAAATTCGATTTCTGCTTTCCAAGAAAAGTCAATTGGCTTAGAAGTTCCTGAAAAGATACAGGGGGCAGTGGAAAGGGGTTGGAGGGAATCCAACAGATACCAACCTACAAAACCATAAAGCAAAATCCCAATCTTACAATCTTACATAAATCAAAGAGTTAAAATCTGAATGTCCAGTTGAGTTGCTAAATCCACAGGTAGAAGGTCTTAAGTGTGGGAAGAGATACTCAGTTCCATTCATGGCCATGCTGGGAAAGCCTTCATGTGTTAAGAAAACCCCCGACCACCCCCAAATATTAAGTTGACACACGTTTCTGGGACACGGCCTGAATCCTCAAACTTAGGCGGGTCTATAGACACACAATTTTCTGTTTCCTGCTTAACAGGGCTTTCCAGAATTGTCATCAGATGACAGATTACACTGACCATCTACAAGGATTCAGGGGTAGCTCAGGCCATCCATTATGGGTTAAAAGCTGTTTCAGCATGAATCGAGTCACAGTGGTAAGGAGACTACCAATACAAGGGGTCCTACAGCTTTAAGAAATACCCTGGGCATCTAAAAGTTTTCAGAATGCAAACTATGTCAGCTCTGAAAACAAGAGGCACTGCATCATTATGGCAGGAGAAACAAAGCCAGCCCCCTTTTAAAAACAGACAAAAAAAAAAGATTGTTTTAATAGGAGAGAAGCATCAGTCATTGATTCTTACTTCATTCACACTTTCTATCCAACCCCATCCATCTTCAGAGTGAAGAGATGACAGAGCGCAGTTAACTCTCTCCCTCTTTGGGCCCCCGCCCATTCCGCTCCACTATATCCAAACCACCAAGGCCTACCAACCCACCCATTTCAATCTGCAAGAAGCAGTCCTATAGAATGACTCTTTCTATCTAATGGGTTTGCCAAAGTTCACGTATGCCTCAGTACCAGATTTCATCATGTTACGTTAATAGGCTTGCCTGTCAAGCTAGCATGACTTGGCCTTTGCTAATCATCTTCAAAATGACCATTTAGTCACTAATGGCTGACCATGTTCTACAAAGGAGGTGATGAGAAGACTTAAGGCAGGAGGAAAAAGTCAGTAAACCCAACCAACAATCGAGAATGTAAAATATTGCATTTTCTTAAATGCTACTGGCCACTCTATCTGCTAACAAAAGTTCTCCAAGCAGGCAGTCTCTGCACCAGTGCACCTGCTTAGCATTGGTTTGCTAAGTTATCTTTTCGCTGTGTCTGCAGAAGCCAACTACAATACAATGGGTCGCATCACTTGAGGGTCACTTGAGTCCTTCTACTCTCTGGGTCCCTCCTCCCACCCCCCTGTCTTCCCTTCTACCCACAAAACCTTTAACTCCACCATAGCTAAGGATCCCAGATAGCTAAATAAAAGAGGTGGCCTCAAACACAGGGAAAAACCCTTAGGTCTCCAGTGTGAATCGCCAATGCCAATCCCCCTCCCCTCCCCTTTTCCTTAAGACCTGATGGTCTTCAGTCACACATCTTAAAAGAAAAACAAAAAACAAAAACACAAAGACTTACTTGTCTCAAGTCGATGAAGGCCAACTGCAGCGTGTCCTCCTGGAACCCAGGCACCGGGCCGGATCTGGCAAACTCTGTGGGAAAGAAAAGAGGATAAAAAGCGCCTTTAACTAACCATGGACAGGGAGATTGGCAGACGGATGACAGGGAAGACAAGAGAGGCTGGGGGAGAGGAGGACCAAGCTTCTAAGGAGTCATGTCTCTCGCCCTTCAGCTTCTTTGTTTGCCCTTCAAAATTCGTGTCATCAAAACACCATTAATTCCAGCATCCTGACAGCAAGGAAACTGTACTAATTCGACCTGAAATTTATTCCCATGAGCCGCGCTGGGCTTCAGAGTATTTGTTTTGTGAATGGACAAACAACTTGCAAAGGAGGAGGGAATGGGGGAGAGAAAAAAGTTTTTCCTCTCAACACAATAAAATCTTCAGCTGTGAAACTCTTTTCAGTTCCGAAAGCTATTTATATTTTAGATCGCTGAAGGAATTTTCTAATTTCACGCTTGTCACCTCATTCCCCAAGCATTTATCAAAAAATATTCCCTGCCACATCATTAATTATTCCCTCACTGATTATTTGTATTATCTCATGGTTGCATTATTGCCAACACACACACACACACACACACACGCACACACCAGCAGCAGAGGCTACCCTGATCCAATGCTTGGCTTTCAAGCAAAGTATTTGCAGATATGAAAAGATCCATCTGAATAAACCAGGGAACATTTGCACATCTCTAGTGGACTCTTTGTCCTCAACTTCTACTCCTATTCCACTCTCAAAATTCTTTCTTCTCCTCCCACTACCCCAATTTAGTCTAAGGTTGAAGAGGCCACAGGAATGCTATTTGCACTTTACAGTAGTGCCTTGGGTACATGCTCACTTTATGACTCTGGCTTCTACATCATTAACAAGAAGATAACTGTACAGGGCTATAGGGACAAATACCAGTAACAGTTAAGAATGTCAAGTTTTATTTTCCCTGAGCCATGATTATTATGAAATCAAAAGGTCTTATGTTCCCATCACACACATCTATGCACACCACACACGCACCAAGCAAATTAAGAAGTTGGACAGTCAGTATATCTTCAGTTCTCTCTGTGAAGCCAAAGTTGATGGACATTTAATATCAACCTACCCTTTACCTCAGAACAACTCAGTATCTGTTCATAGCAAACATGCAAACAAAAATGTTTTCGTTCAGTTACTCACCAGAACTGAATTTAAGAAAGGATAGAGAGTTTGGTGTAATGTTCTCTTGAAATCGAATGAAAGCCATCAAGATATCTGCATATATGCCTGGAAAATTGCTTCTAACAACTAGTAGCTAGATAGATTCAAATGATGATTTGTGAACAATGATTAGAATTTTTGTTCTTTAAAAGTATATGCTATTTGGGGGCTTCTTAGACATAATAGGTTGTCATAAAACTCTTGCCCCACTTTTAAAATAATGTGAACAGCTTCAGTTATCTTTCCATATATAGAAATAGTATGCAAAATGACATAAAAACAATTCACTAAACTACATGGTACAAATGTATTATACAACTATTTACAGATATTCATATTGCAGACATTCGAATAAATGGAAGAAGATAAACTATATAGCATGATTAACATACTAAAGTTTCTATTTGCTTTGAAAAGAACATTTAAATGCCATTTGTTAATTAATTCTATTACATGTAGCCTAAGTAATAGAGGTTTTAAGAATTTCAAAACTACTTGTTAAAGGCCATGTTAGCAGGATGTTTGATATAATGTACCCCATCATCTGTGATAACCTCATATACAGGAGCTGTTCACATCAAATGTAGTTTCCCTATATTATGCTCTTGTTGAAAGTAGTTCTTTTAATTACAGCTATAGTCATTCTTTTTGATAGTCTTGATTGTTAGGTGATCAGCTTAAGTAAGTTTCCTATGCTTGATGGTTTCTTCTAAATTGGCAGATAATCATTACTGATCTTACAGGACTCAAGTCTATCCTGCATCATCGGAAGCATCTAAAGTCTCTCTGTTAGCAGGACCCCTACTTGTAGAGTCAAAATGCAGCAACTATCAAGACATTGTCCAACTCAACAGAATTATTCTGTGATACATGGCTTGAATGACTGGAAGCTGACTACACATTCTTGAACCACCTTTTTGGGCATAATCCCTAGAACTAATATTGATAGCTAAAGCTGAAGAATCCACTCAGGAATCAGGATATGATATGTATTTAGTTCTCAAGAGTCATTTTACAGAACTCACTTTTATGACATATAGAATATTCCAGGTTTCCAAAGGATATGGTGGCCTTTTATATTTGATTTTCCATTTTATAAATCAGGGAATCAAAGAATGAGAATGGTATCAAGTATGACACAGTGAAGAGATTAATTTTTATATATAACTATGGAAATGTTTAGTTACTGTAAATTTATATTTGTTTCTTTTCTCATTATTTGATGTATGTAAAACAATTCTTAACTTCCCATGCAGACTGTAAATTCCTTAGGGATGAAAACTATATCACTAAACAAAACAAGATTCAAATTAGCAGATGTTCAACAAATACTGCATTTTAATTTAAATAAATTACACAAATAGCAAAATTCACTAACCACAAATACTCTTTTTGCCAATAAAAATCTCTAGTTTACAATAGCTAAGATGTCTTTAACTTGAAAATCAATAAGCAGATTCTCAGAATTCATGAACTCCCCCAAATTACATGCACAATAATTAAGGGCATAGGTTTTGGGGTCATCAAATTCAGAGTTTAAGCTCCAGCTCTTCACTGACTAACTCTATGGACGTGCACACATATTACTTAATCTCTCTTAAACTTCATCATCTTTATTTCAAAAATGAAGATAACACAGAACATTTCTTATAATGCTATGAGAAGTCAATGAAATAATACACGTAAAGCAATTGGCAGAGTGCTGGCATATCATAATTGATTATCATTATAATTAGTTTTTTGTGTGAATATACATTTTTCTGTGAAGACAAATCACAGCTTTTGCTGAATCCTCAGAGGGCTGGTGACTCAAAAAAGGTTAAGAAACACTGTTCTATATTTGGGACAAAAGACAAGAAGAAATCCAGCTACCACTCATTGATAAATTAGTGAACTGGCATTGTAAATTTACTTACAGGCAAATATTTAATTGCTTTATGTCGTTTTGCATAATGTTTCTATATATGGAAAGATAACTGAAGTTGTTCATATTATTTTAAAAGCAGGGCAAGAGTTTTATCACAACCTATTATGTCTAAGAAGCCCCCAAATAGCATATACTTTTAAAGAACAAAAATTCTAATCATTGTTCACAAATCATCATTTGAATCTATCTAGCTACTAGTTGTTAGAAGCAATTTTCCAGGCATATATGCAGATACCTTGATGGCTTTTATTAAATTTCAAGAGAACATTACACCAAACTCTTAATCCTTTCTTAAATTCAGTTCTGGTGAATAATTGAAGGAAAATACTTTTGTTTTCATGTTTAATTGCTTCACTTGAAGAAAATTGATGTGACTAATTAATAGTGTGTTAGCTGAAGCACAGCAATTTTATTTGTATTATCGGAAAATTCAATAAATACATAAAATAGATCTGTAACTTTGTGACTCAGTATACCCTTAGAAACATGACTGTCCCCTTAGAGTCAATTTAAAAAATATATAACAAATGTTAACAGCATAAGAAAGTATGATTATTTTAAATAATAAAATGAGAATTTGTGTATAGTCCAAATATGTATATAGAAATACATACAAGAAGATCTGGGATTGGTCTGTACATCTAAATTCCCAGATGCTGTTTGACAGAGGAGTGAAACTATATATGGGAGGGTGGCAAGAGGCTCTGGTCTGCTGTCACACAAGCAAACTGATTATCCGTACATACAAGAGGTCTCCCTGGAGAGACATCACTGACAACTTTGCTTCTTTCATAAAAAGGGATAAGTCCGTGAAATTGTGGTCCAGTGGAATTAACGGAAACATAGGACACAGATGACACCTTCCTTTCTGGCCTTGTCTCTGGATCCCAGGATCTATAGTAGGTCTTTGGTCTCTAAGTGACCTAAGCTAGGACCAAAGTTTTCAAAGCCTGGAATTCTATCATATGGCTTCTACATCATCAAGGAAGTCAAGGTGCTTGCTGCAATTAACAAAAGACCTTTACCTTTAATTCACTCCTCTTATTTGGGGATTAAGTCAAAGTTTCAGTCCTTTTGTGAAACTTGTGCAGGTTAGCAGAATCCCTAAGCAGTACCACCACTCTCCAGTGAGCTTGGCTCTCTCTCCAGCAGCTCTATCTTGTCCTTGTCCAATTATGGTAGGGACTCACAATGTCTAAGATCCAATTTGCAAACATGCGAAATTAATCAATGAGGTACAAGTAGATGGCGTAATGGTTACGTTGCTGGACTCCCACATGGTTGATCACAGTTCAAGTCCTGGCAGCTTGAAATGCCAGGCATGTGTGCTCATGTGCCCAAAATCCTTAAAGGAGAATGAAGAAGAGATTGCAGCATGGCCATCCCCTCCGCGGGAAGGGGATTACTCACTTTCTGTCTGTCTCTTTCCCGCAGGTACACGCACCCTATAGCCAAAATCTCTCTTAAAATTTAACTAAAATATTAAAAAGAGATATACAAAATTACAGAAAAGAAGGCATATTGACAATAAAGGAAAAGAAAGAAGATCACAACTTGTTTTGCTTACGAAAAATTCAACAATTCCTTACACTCTTATTTACACATAAATTTATGAGCTGTGTCAGTCATTTTGAAAAACAAGGGCTGGCCCCATTAGGGCTATCCCCTCTGACCCAAAATGACTGACCACAGTTCAAATTCTGGCCCTGTAATCAATTTGAAAGATATATAGGGCATGTGTGCATGTGTGCCCCAAATCCCATCAGGATGGAGAAATGAAAGAGAAGTGATTGCATAGTGATAACACCCAATTGAGGGGTGCTTCCTCCCTCTCTCTCTCTGGTGAACACATGCACCATTTCAATTATAAATAGATCAATAAATGAATAAATAAAAATATTAGTTTTTC